TATATATATATATATCGCTCTCTCTCTCGTGGAGTTTGGACCTCGCCGTTACGAGTCGACTATAAGAATCATACTTACTCGGGTAATAGTCGGCTAGCCGATCGCCATCCTCCTGTGCCTTAGCGTCGGCCTTAGCGTCCGCCTCCTTGCCATATCGCCCGAACACCGCAAACAGCACGAGAAACGCGGTTTGGAAGATGGCGACGAAGAAGGGGAATTTTTTAAAGCGCATGACGTTAGCAGAGGAGCTTCGAGCGAAAGCGAGAGAGTGTGTGTGTGTGTGTGTGTGTGTGAGCGGTTGGCACTCGCGTCCACTGCGGTTGTGCGATTAGTGGCAAAAGCTCACGATCGACGAGCAGCAGGAGCTGGTGTGCCAGTCCCAGGCACGTGTGCGCTGCTGGTGCCCTGCCGCCGCTGCCAAAGCGATAACCGCGCCCTCTCGTGTCGCAAGGTCGAATCACGGTCGCTATTCGCTGCCGGGCGTTTCGCTATGTGTCACTCGAGCACGCATGCGTTCGAGCAAGATTGAGTGAAGCTTTTTTAATTGCATGCGTCGCCGTGGGTTGAACCAGTGACCAAGACTGCACGCCCACCTTTGCCATTCCATGGTTACGTCCGTGGCCCATACAAATCTCATGCAGCCGGTACTCGACCGTTGGATGCATGCCTTAATTTATCGAAATGTTTCAGTAATGCGCACAGTAGGCCTACATCTACGATGATGAGCCCCGTTGAGTTGAATTCTATCTCCGGAATTAGCAATGTAGAATGTACAAATTGGCGGTTGCTAGGGTTGCCGATTCTTAGCTAGACTAGAATATTTTTCTGCGTGCGCGCGTGCACACGTGTGTGTGTGTGTGTGTGCGTGCGCGTGTGCGTGCGCGTGCGAGCGTGCGTACGTGCGTGCGTGCGTGCGTGTGGGTGCGCGTGGGTGTGTATGCGTGCGTATGTATGCGTGCATGCGTGTGTGTGCGTCCGTGTGTATGCGTGCGTGCGTGTGTGTGCGTGCGTGCGTGTGAGTGTGTGTATGTGTGTGTTTCTGTAGCATGTAGAACCACTCCTAAGCTACTCGCCCGATCACAGCTGCTGTGCTAGACACGTCAACTCGACGCACGTCCGGTACGCCCGAAAACCATCATTAATCAACTCTAACGAACTCCGCGGCTTTCCGTATAAGCAACGATGAGACGCCTGCCAAAACCAGCCAGAAGAATGTCAATTAATTTACAGGTGCTAATGTATAGCACGTGACAACGGAAACACTCGACAACGCTGGTGACGCAGATGGGATCACAGACCCTCTCGTAACTTTAATAGTAAAGTAAAAATAAGGCATTTACACAAAGAATCGCAGTTATAGTGATATCATATTTTATATTAGTTAGTAAAACGTATTTTTCATGGAAAACAATTCAGAAACATGACTTATCTACCGATCGTGTACTAAATCAAAAATTTACAAGTGCCGATGGTTCTCTTGTTTTTGATATTTTGATGACGCTCGCTTCTTGTGTTGCTGTGCAGAATAAATCAGTTAGCGTGTTGTTTTTTCATCAGATATTATTTATATGTGATTAACCATCTTAATATGCATAAATTGCTGTAATGTACAATAAATGTGTATGAATTTGAGTTTTGCAATCGGTTCTCAGCCAACCAGACTTGTGACAGCAAATTATCAAGTTCGGGTTATCGTAAGTTTTTTTCATACCTGCGATCGATGTGATTCTGTCAACGCTATTCTCGTAACATTAACATTAGTCGTAAGTGCTATCTTAGCATTAACATTAGCATTAACTTGACGCTGTTTTTGAGAACGGGCCCCTGGTTACTGCATATTATATTTGCGTCATCTGCCATTAAAGTGATTACGTCACCGTAAATAGTAAAAATTAAAAAATATATTTCCACTTTTTCACAAAATGTAAGTAATTCTGTTCACTTTTTATGGTTAAATTGCTGCATTATACTTCCTATTTTACTATATTGTTCGATATAAACATACACTCGTGACTCATACATAGCCCATAGCAAGCAATTAATGTCAAGATCATAATATCAAATCGTCCATGTTTTTTTGATTTTTAACTAGTTAAGAAACAATCTTATTAGGTAAGAATTTGACGATACATTTAGTCCCGTTAGTACTTACTTTTAATGTAAAAAAATGGCAACCAAATTTTTACAAAATACACCATAGAAAATTCGTGACGTAGTCAGTTTAAATCTGGGCCATAATTGTATCTAGCTTGTACACAACCACTATGCGTGGTCTGATAGTATCACTAGTAATATTATTATTATTCAGGTACGCATTTATTCAAATTATAGTAATGAGGTTAGAGTGTACACGTGGGAATATTTTTCATTTAGCAACTCTTTTAAACACTGTGCTAGTAAACACTTTAAAGACACATGACCAATATTTCTCATGTAAAAAAAGCTTCTACGAAACGCTTGCTACTTCTGTTGAAATAGCTGGATATATCTGGTGAGTAATGGATATATCATCTTTCATAAATATGGCTACTGTCAGAATATAGCATGGCACAGCGTAGCATACATGTGTCTGTAGAATATAATAGAATAGTATAGAATCGAAATCGAAATCGAAATCGAAATCGAACTAGAACTAGAACTAGAACTTGAAATAAAAATAGATATTGAATAAAAAAGAATAGAATAGAATAGAATAGAGTAGAGTAGAATAGAATAGAACAGAATAGAATAGAATAGAATAGAATAGAATAGAATAGAATAGAATAGAATAGAATAAAATAGAAAAGAATAGAGTAGAGTAGAATAGAATAGAACAGAATAGAATAGAATAGAATAGAATAGAATAGAATAGAATAGAATAAAATAGAAAAGAATAGAGTAGAGTAGAGTAGAACAGCATAGCATAGCATAGCATAGCATAGACTAGCATAGCATAGCATAGCATAGCATAGCATAGCATAGAACAGAGTAATCTATTTCTAATAGTAGGTTTAAGATTAATAAGTAGATTGTGTGATGACTTACTGGCGTAGTACTGAGCGATCTGCTCCGGACTCTCTTCATCGTCATGTCGCACGTACGCAGACCGAGCCTGTTCTCCGTATCTCGCGAATGAGATGAATAGACAGAAGAAGAGAACCTGGAAGGCGCATACTGCGGCGGCGAATTTCCCTCTGCTCCACCACTTTTTCTTGGCCTTGCTTTTCTCTGGCGGCACTTCGAGTTCCTCAACGGCGAAGGCGATACTACTGGGCTTCCTTTCGTTTGGCATGATGTTTCAGTCGCCGCTGTTTAACAGCTGAAAAAGTCGTCGTCGTCGTCGTCGTCGTCGTCGTCGCTTTTACACGATATTGCGTCGTCTAATTGGCGCTTGTTACGCTTGTACCGCAATGCGAGGTAACGCGCAGGTCTTGTTGTCTACGCCTCGTGCGGTTTTAATTGAGGGCTACGGTTGAGGGTGCAGCAAGACTTGGCTGCGCGTCTTTGCGACGCCGCCAACCATGTGTAACCAAGCGCAGTCGTTATTTCACACGAGGCTTGAGGACGCATGTGCGTGACGAGAATTACATTTACCGGTTGGGTCACAGCTTCGGGGTATGGAGTGCCTTGAAGTATATGTATGATATATAATCGTGACCGCTCTGGACTGCCAGTGTCGCTACGGTGTGTGTGTGTGTGTGTGTGTGTGTGTGTGGTGTGTGTGTGTGTGTGTGTGTGTGTGTGTGTGTGTGCTTGTG